TATATTGCATTCATGATCAAACTAATAACCCAAAGTGTTGTACTTCAACAAAGCAGACTATTAAATTGCCTGTTCCAACAATCTAAGTATAGGCCAGTGACAATATGTATAGGCCAGTGATATGAACACGTTCCCATTATTTGTGTATGAATAAAAAATATTCAAAATTGCCTGGCCAAGGGCTGCCTTGAAAGATGAAATGTCCACACCCAGGGCCGCCGAGAGGGGCCCAGGGGGAGGGGGGGGGGGCAAATTGCCCCAGGCCCCCACCATAATAGGGCCCAACTTGAGAGGAAGAGCCTAAAATTGAGTAGTTTCTTTAAATTGGTCAGAGCATTTTGGAAATTGAGGGCCCCCTACAGTACCTCCAGATGCAGTCTAGCTAAGGTCTAGTTGGGTCTAGCTTAAAAATGTCATGGGGCCCCCAGGGAAGATTTGTCCTAGGCCCCATGTATTCTCTCGGTGGCCCTGTCCACACTACAGGGTGATCTTGCGACATCAAAATCCTCCCCGTTGGGCAAGCAAAATTGTTCAAATCTCTACCCCTTGCCCCCCCCCCCAAGCTTAACATTGAAAGGTGCATTAGTTGGTTAGAGTGCTACACTGGAATTGCAGGGCCACAGGTTCGATTCCTGGAAGAGGACCTAGTGTTCGCAACCGTTCCTGGTTACAGTAGGTCTTAAATTGTGTATGCATATGCCCCCTTGGATTATGCACTATTATGCCAAAAGGGTTAAATTGACAAATGTTTGCAGTTATGATTTGCATGTGAAATTATCTGTCATGTAGCCTAGGTTGGCCTATTTTCATATAAGGATGCATTTTAAAATATATTTGAATTTTGTAGCTGAAGTTGCTTATTTCATATTTTGTATGGTTCAAAAATTGTGAAATAAATATTCTGTTCACTGTCCATTTGTGTCTATTTTGGTAGCAATGCATTGTATGCAGATGCATGTAATGCTGTTGGAGTTGCTGGATTGTTCCCCAAAGTTTGTCAACAAGTAGATATTTTGCAGGTTTCTCTTGTAAGCCTTAAATTAACTCATTGAGCCGCAAAGTGCCCCAGTGCGCCCTACTTATTTTTTTACTAGTACTTGTCTAACGCCTGATGATTTTACTTGTCAATGGGGAAGCTCTGCAGCTTAATGGGTTAATGAAAACATAAGGGTATATATTTTATTGGATTGCACAAATCACATGAATGAAGTTGAATGGATAAACCTTCATTTCATTAGGGGTGCACCGGAACTCGGTTCCGGCCGGTTAGTTCCGGCCGGAACCCCGATTTTTTAGAGTTCCGGTTCCGGCCGGAACAAGTAAAAAAAGCATGGCCGGAACCGGAACTCTGTCGTTTTCAGAGAGATAGAATATCAAACGTTTTTGTGTCTAACAAAAGGTCACAGGAGGAAGAAATTGGACTACGCAAGGGAAATGTACACTATTAACACTTCATTATGACGTTTAGCGTTTGTCAGTCTTTTTATTCTGACATTTGCGAACTCTCTACTTGATGATTTGAAGTGTCTGCTTGTCTGGCAGCGGACAAAGTAACATATGACTATATATGGCTTAATAAATTAGTTCCGGTTCCGGCCGGAACTTCCGGCCGGAACTTTTTTCCAGTTCCGGTCGGATCCGGTTCCGGCCGGAACTTAAAAAACCGGTTCCGGTGCATCCCTACATTTCATAAACATTCATGAACCTTCATATCATATTTAAACTGCTTTATCTCAAGAGGTTGTGCATGGCCTGAAGCTTTTTTCTTTAATATAGTTAGACCTATATTTTCAGTACACCTGTCTGTATATACAGTATAGTTGTTGGTATAGTTGTTGCCTGTGAATTTCTGTTGATATTTTGATTGGAAAATGTTTGGGATTTGTTGCTTTACATTGTTTTGATGCAATGATGCATCTGCTGAAGTTTATATGGATAGTTCTTGAAAATATTTATAGCAGGTAATTTAGCTGGAATACTTCATGAGAGGCTGAGAGCAATTTTATTCTTGCCATATTAAATGTTTATCAGTTTATTTATAATTTAATGATGAAAATCATAGTGGGCATTAAAATTTACGTTCAAGTCTTTTTTTGCAAATAAAAAGATGCTATAAATGTTTCA